AAAAGGAAGAGGAATGGTTCATCATAGGAAAATTGGGATGCTGATACCTCAACAAGAAGAACAGATGCTCATCAGAAAAAGTATAATGACCATTAGACAATTGTGAAATACATAGAGGTCATTCACAATAGCGCAATTTCTCAACATGTATGTGCCTTACATTTTTATAGTTTTTTATTTAAAAAGCAGAGAGGAAGAGAAACAGACACACAGAAAGAGATTTTATATCCTCTGGTTCACTTCCCAAATACCATCAAAGGCCAGGGCTTAGCTAGGCCAAATCTAGAAGCCAGGAAATCCATCTGGGTTTCCCATATGCATGGCAGGGTCCCAAGTACTTGGGCCATACTCCACTGCTTCCCAGGCACGTTAGCAGTAATTTAGATCAGAAGCAGAGGTGGGGCTCAATACCAGGTACTACAATATGGGATATAGGCATCCCAAGCAGCTATACCACATGTTTGCCCCCCTTAAAATCTTTTGATGTTTGTAAAAGGATTCTCACATTTGAAAAGCTGGAGAATCACTTATACTTTTTCATATAGGAATATATGAATGGACATAGATTAAATATATGGATGAACACCTGAAGTTTCTGTATCTTGGTTTAGCTGACTACCGTGACCAGTATAATACCTAAGATGTCTGCTTTGGAACTCCTTGTGCTTATAATTCAATAGATCAGTGAGTTTCCTTGGTCCATTAAGTCACTTCACAAACCATTGCCTTCTCTATAGAGGAGACATTATGAAAAGAAACTCTCATAAAGCACATTCTCAGCAAGAATTTCCTTTGAGTTGAAGTGTTTATTCCTAAATCTTAAGAGCTATTCGTGTTAGCTGCTTGGTGAATGTGCTTATGAATATCTTTAGTGAAACTAGTTATGCATTCTATATATGAAGGACTTTATATTTTTTAAGATTTATTTAGGGGCCAGCGCCGTGGCTCACTTAGTTAATCCTCCACCTGCGGCACCGGCATCCCATATAGGCACCGGTTCTAGTCCCAGTTGCACCTCCTCCAGTCCAGCTCTCTGCTGTGACCCGGAGAGCAGTAGAGCATGGCCCAGGTGCTTGGGCCCTGCACCCGCATGGGAGACGAGGAAGAGGCACTTGGCTCCTGGCTTCGGATTAGCACAGCGCCGGCCATGGCAGCCATCTGGGGAGTGAACCAATGGAAGGAAGACCTTTCTCTCTGTATATCTCTCACTGTCTGTAACTCTACCTGTCACATTCTCTGTATATCTCTCACTGTCTGTAACTCTACCTGTCACATAAATTTAAAAAAAAAGATTTATGTATTTATTTGAAGGGCAGAGTTACAGATAGAGAAGGAGAGGTAGAGAGAGAAGTCTCCCATCTACTGGTTCACTCCCCCAATTGGCTGCAATAGCCAGAGCTGTATCGACCTGAAGCCGGGAGCCAGGAGCTTCTTCAGGGTCTCCCACATAGGTGCAGGGGCCTAAAGACTTGGGCCATCTTCTACTGCTTCCCCATGCCAAAGAAGAAAGCTGAATCGGAAGTGGAGCAGCCAGGACTCAAACTGGCACCCACATGGGATGCCAGCACTGCAGGCAACAGCTTTACCTGCTACGCCACAGGGCTGGCCCCAGCCTTTATACTTTTAATACTTTCTTCCATAATGTAGCTTAACCCAAAGTGATTTTATGCAATTAATTTTTCACTATTGTATCTTTATTTTTATTATTTATATAAGGTGAACAAATTTCATGTATTTATATATACAGATTTAGGAGCATAGTGACACTTCCCACCCTACCCTGCCTTGCACTGATGATCTGAACCTTCCTCCTCCATCATTTCTTATTCTTTCATTTAATTTTTACAGTGACATACATTTAAGATTTTTGTATAACCATAACATTAACCCTCCATTAAGTAAATAATTCAGCAAATACTAATGAAAAAAAACATTGTTCCACAGCAGTAGAGACATGAATGAACAATAATCAGTTCTCAAAATGTCAATTTTGCTCATATATATTGCAATTTTTGTACTTCGATATTACCACAAATCAGGGAAAACATATGATATTTGTCTTTTGGGGACTGGCTTATTTTACTAAGTATAGTGTTTTCCAGTTGCATCCATTTTGTTGCAAACAGCAGGATTTCTTTCTTTCTTTTTTTTTTTTTACCATTGTGTAGTATTCCATAGTGTATATATACCATAAGTTCTTTATCCAGTCTTCAGTTGATGGATATCTGGGTGGAATCCATATCTTAGATATTGTGAATTGACCTGCAATAAACATGGGGGTGCAGATAACACTTTCATATGCAGATTTCATTTCATTTGGGTAAATTCCCAGGAACAGGATGGCTGGGTCATATGGTAGATATATTTTCAGATTTCTGAGGTGTCTACATACTTTCTTCCACAATGACTATACTACTTTGCATTCCCACCAACAGCAAATTAGCATACCTCTTTCCCTATATCCTCATCAGCATTTTATTGTTTTTTTTTGTTTTCTGTATGTGAGCCATTATAACTTGGATGAGGTGAAACCTCATTGTGGTTTTGATTTGCATTGCTCTGTTGGCTAGTGATCCTGAGCATTCTTTCATGTGTTTGTTGGTCATTTGAATTTCCTCTCTTGAAAAATGCCTGTTCAAGTTATTTGCCCATTGCTTAACTGGGTTGTTTGTTTTCTGGTTGTAGAGTTTCTTGGGCTTTTTAAGATTCTGGATATTAATCCTCTATCAGTTGCATAGTTTGCAAATATTTTTTCCATTCTGTTGATTGTCTCTTCACTTTGCTGAATGTTTCCTTTGTAGTACTGAAGCTTCTTAGGTTGTTATAGTCTGATTTGTCTATTTTTGCTTTTATTGCCTGTGCTTCTGGGGTCTTTTGCAAGAAGTCTTTGCCTACACCAATCTCTTGCACAGTTCCTCCAATGTTCTCCTCAGGTAATTTGTTATTTTCAGATTATAAATTTAGATCCTTGATCCATTTTGAGTTTATTTTTGTGTAAGGTGCAAGGTAGGGGTCTTGTTTCATACTTCTACATTCAGAGATCCAGTTTTCCTGGCACCATTTGTTAGAGAGACTGTCCTTTCTCCAGGGATTGATTTTACCTACTTTGTCAAAGATTAGTTGGGTGTAGATGTGTGGATTGATTTCTAGGGTTTCTATTCTGTTCCATTGGGCTACATGTCTATTTTTGTGTCAATATAAGGCTGTTTTGATTATAATTGCTATGTAGTGTGAATTGAGACCTGATATTGTGATGCCTCCAGCTTTGTTTTTGTTAAGATCGCTTTAGCTATTTGAGGTCTCTTGTGTTTCCATATGAATTTTAGTGTCATTTTCTTCTAGATCTGGGGAGAATATCATTGGTATTTTGATTAGAATCACAATGAATCTGTAATTTGCTTTCAATAGTATGGACATTTTGATGATATTAATTCTTCTAATCCATGAGCATGGAAGATTTTTCCATTTTTGGTGTCTTCTTCTATTTCTCTCTTTTTCTGTTTTGTAATTTCATCATAGAGATCTTTCACATTTTTGGCTAAATTTATTCCAAGGTATTTAATTTTTTATAGCTATTGTGAATGGGATTTATCTTACAAGTTCTTTCTCAGCCATGACATTGTGTATACAAAGGCTGTTAGGTTTTTTTTTGTATTAACTTTATATCCTGCCACTTTGCCAAACTGCTTTATGAGTTCCAATAGTCTCAGAGTAGTCTTCTGGTTCTCCTATATATAGAACCATTTCATCTGCAAACAGGACTATTTTGACTTCCTCCTTTCCTATTTGTATCCCTTTGATTATTTTTCTTGCCTAATGGCTCTGGCTAAAACTTCCAGAACTATGGTGAATAGCAATGGTGAAAGTGGGCATTGTTGTCTGGTTCCAGATCTTAGTGGAAATGCTTCCAACTTTTCCCCATTCAATATGATGCTAGTTATGAGTTTATCATGTATTACCTGGATTATGTTGAGGAATGTTCCTTCTATACCCAATTTGTTTGTTTTATCATGAAAGGATGTTGTATTTTATCAAATAATTTATCTGCATCCATTGAGATAACCATGTGGTTTTAATTTTAAGTTTATTAATGTGCTATATCACATTTATTTATTTGCATATGTTGAGCCATCCCTGCATACCAGGGATAAATACCACTTGATCCACATGAATGATCTTTCTGTTGTTGGATTCAATTAACTAATACTTTGTTTAGGATTTTTGCATCTGTATTCATCAGGGATATTGGTCTATAGTTCTGTTTCATTGTTGTATATTTTTTCTGGTTTTGGAATTAATGTGATGCTGGCCTCCAAGAAGGAGTTTAGGAGGATTCCCTCCGTTTCAATTGTTTTGAAAATTTGAGAAGAATTGGAATTGATTCTTCTTTATAAGTCTGGTAGAATTCAGCAGAGAAGCCATCCAGTCCTGAACTTTTCTTTGTTGGGAGGGTTTTTATTACTGATTTTGTCTCCATTTTGGTTATTGATCTGTTTAGATTTTCAATGACTTTGTGCCTCAGTTTGGTAGATTATATGTGTTCAGGAATCTATCCATTTCTTCTTGATTTTCTAATTTTTTGGCATATAGCTGTTCATAGTAATTCATGATGATTCTTTTTATTTCTGTGGTAGCTGTTGTTACATCTTCTTTTTCATCTCTGATTTTATTGATTTGAGTCTTCTCCATCTTTTTTGGTTAGTTGGGCCAATGGTGTATCAGTTTTAATGATTTTTTCAACAAGCCAGCTCTTCATCTCATTGATCTTTTGTATTGTTTTTTGTTTCAATTTTGTTTATTCTCTAATTACTTCTCTTCTTCTAGTAGTTGTGAGTTTATTTTTGTTTTTCTAGGTCCTTGAGATGCATTGATAGCTCATTTATGTGATGCCTCTCCAATTTCTTGATATAGGCACTAATTGCTATAAATGTCCTTCTTAACACTGCTTTTGCTGTATCCCATAAATTTTCTTTTTTCTTTTTTCCTTTGTCTTTTTTTAAAGAAATATGAAACACTTCACAAATTTGCATATTATCCTTACTCAGGGGCCATGCTAATCTTCTCTGTATCGTTCCAGTCTTAGTATATGTGCTGCCAAAACAAGCACCCATAAGATTTCATATGTTGTATTGTCATTTTCATTCATTCTCAGGAATTTTTTAAATTCCCTTTTGATTTCTTCTGTGACCCACGGTTCATTCAGAAGCATTTTGTTCAGTTTCCATGTTTTTGCATATTTTCTAGCAATTTTTAAGTTCTAAATCTCTAGCTTCATTCCATTATGGTCAGAAAAGATACATAGAATGATTCCAGTTTTTCTGAATTCGCTGAAACTTGCTTTATAGACTAGCCTATGGTCTATCCTAGAGAAAATTCTATTTACTTATGAAAAGAATGTGTATCTTTCTACTGTGGGATGAAATGTTTTGTAGATATCAGTTAGGACCATTTGGTCCATAGTGTTGATTAGCTCTAATGTTTGTTGATTTTCTGTCGACTTGATCTGTCATTGATGAAAGTGGGGTGTTGAAGTCTCCCATTACTTTTTTATTTATTTGTTTGAGAGGTAAAGTTACAGACAGAGAGAGGGAAAGACAGAGAGAAAGGTCTTCCATCCCCTAGTTCATTCCCCATATGGCTGCAATGGTCAGAGCTGGTTCGATCGGAAGCCAGGAGCTTCTTCCGAGTCTCCCATGTGGGTGCAGGAGCCAAAGTACTTGGGCCATCTTCTACTGCTTTCCCAGGCCATAGCAGAGAGCTGGATCAGAAGAAGAGCAGCCAGGACTGGAACTGCCACCCATATGGGATTCCAGTGCCACAGACAGAGGCTCAGCCCACTATGCCACAATGCCAGCCCCCCATTACTATTGTATTGGAGTCTATGTCTCTTTTTAGATCCATTAACATTTGTTTTAAACAGCCAAGTGCCCTGGCATTGGGTGCATATATGTTTATTGTAGTCACATCTTCCTGTTGAATTGTATAATGCCTTTCTTTGTCTCTTTTAAGAGTTTTGGTGTTATAGTCTATTTTGTCTGATATTAAGATGGTGACACCTGCTCATTTTTACTTTCCATTCACATAAAATATCTTTTTCCATCCTTTTACATTCAGTGTTCATGTTCTTTGTTGGTTAGGTGTGTTGCTTGTAGACAACAAATAGATGGGTCTTGTTTTTAATCTATTCATCCAGTCTATATCTTTATGTTAGAGATTTTAGGTCTTTTATATTCAAAGTTATTATTGATAAGTACTGACTTGGCCCTACCATGTCATTTTCCCATAAATAAGCCTATTGTTTGCTTTGTATTTCCTTTGTACTTTTACTGGATTGTCTGCCTTCATCTTCTTTCATAATGATGGCTATCTTTCTGTGTTCCTCTATGTAGCACATCCTGAAGCATTATTTGTAAGGCTGGACAAGTGGTGACAAAATATTTCAATCTCTGTTTTTTATAGAAGGTCTTTATTTCTTCATTCATAACTGAGTACTTTTCAGGGTACTAAATTCAGGGTCGATGGTTTTTTCTTTTAAAATTTCTGCTATGTCTCTCCATTCTCTCCTGGCCTGTAGGGTTTCTGATGAGAAATCAGCTGTCAATATAATTGGAGGTCCTGTGACAGTAATCTCTCATTCACATTTTAGAATCTTTAAGTTTTCCTGTTGAAAGTTTGATTACAATGTGTTGTCATGAAAATCTTGCTGGTGTGGTAGATCTCTATTGTCATTGAGGGGAGGGTATGATCACACCTATTATTGTAATCACACCCTCTCCTCTCTTCTAAGCTGATCAGTGTTGGGGGTTAGTCCACAGTTGGTGCAAACCTCACCCATGCTAGTGCATGAACTGCACAAAGGATCTATGTAGTCCTTAGTATGTACGGAACCCTCTGGAGTGATCCACCCCATGCAGTCAGGGAACTCTGAGTCTGAGTCCAGACATAGTGATTGCCCAGAGACCTAGCTACACACCCATCCTATCATGTTGTCACAGAATTCCCTTAGTCACAGCATGCAAGGCTCCTCCTCTCCACCTTATGAGCCTGCTCCGGCCACAGAGGAGAACAAAGTTGTTTCCAGAGTCAGCTGTCTATGGATGCTCTGCCTTTGCAATTTGAGCTTCAGAGCTTGTGATAGGTTGAAAGGATGGGGGCACCTCACAGTCCTAAATGGGTGACTAGTCCCTTGTCAACCCTCCCAGCCAGACTCAGAGTCAATGGGAAACGCAGATTTTCCCCGCTGGTAAAATACCCTGGTCACATGCAAGAGCCGCCATGGCCTCTACTGGTGTCAAGATGACACCTTCTCCCTGCTAGTTTTTGGGCACCCTTGTAAGAGGATGGGGGGAAAGAAATATGTTTTTCATTTAACTGGTACCCTGACCCCTGCTAGTGCTCCGGGCCAGACTCAGTCAGTGTAGTCCGCAGGGTTCTCCCTTATGAAATATCACTAGTGGCATGGGCTGCCACAGTCGGCTCTCACCTCATTCTCAGAAACTGGCATCTCCTCCAGTCCCCAGCTATGGGAGTCTTGTGTGGTGTCCCCACTTAACTGCTGCACATCCACTCTCCATCCTGTCCCATGGCATCCCTCTTTTCTCTGTAGAATTTCCATTGTAAACGTCGCTCCAAATCTCCCCTGGGAATACACTTCCTCCACTTTTCTTCCCCTGCTCAAAATCAGCATATCTTTTCCCTATTCAGCCATCTTAGAATCCCTTATGCAATTAATTTTTACGGTAAGCTCTAAAAGAGTTCAGTTGTTGGAATCATTTTGTACCTGTGACTGGCAAATGCCTTCTGTACCTTTCTAGCTATTTGGATGTTCATTTATTCATAAAAGGAAAATTTGTAGTATCCTAAGAAATCATGTCACAATTACTTCATGCATCAGTTTTTGTAAAAGTAAGTACTTGTAGGAGAAAAAAAAGTATTTTAATCATTTATTCCTTCAGCAACATGGAACCTTGTATTTTAAAACTCATGTAATGATACATAAATGACTGACTTCTATGTATTCATCACATCACTCTATGCCTAAATGTCAGTATGTTTAGGGCCCCAAAGCTTCTTCATTAACTGGACCTAAATAATTCATTCCTGGTTGTTTAGGTTTTTTATTAATGATTCTGAAACATTCTAACTAAAATATCTAATTGTTGAAAGGAGTAGTCCATGTGACTTTCACAAAAAAAACCTAAATTCGTTTGCTTTTTTCCTCTCCCTTTCCTCTTTGTCTTTTATTTTCTTTTTAAAATTTATTTTAGTTGACAAATACAAATTATACGTATTTGTGGTATATAATATGATGTTTTGATATATACATATGCATATACACACATATATACATACATTTATACACACATATTGTAGAATGCCTAAATTAAGCTAATTTTGATAAATGATATGCATAAACACACATACATACATGTATATACATAAGACATTGTGGAATGGCTTCATTAAGCTAATTAATATATGCATTGCTTCACATAAGTAACCATTTTTTATGTTGGAATATTAGCAATCTATTCTCTAAGCAAGTTTTCAAATATATAGTACATTATTATTAACTATAGTCACCATGCTGTGTGATAGATTTCCTAAATTTATACCTCCTATCTATCTGAAATTTTGTATCCTCTGCCCTCCCCCAATCTCTGGTAACTACCATGGTACTCTCTACTTCTATGAGTTCAACTTTTTTCTTAAAATAATATTATCTTTCCTGACACATTTGTAAACTGTTATATATATTTACATTTGTATGGTTTTTATTTAAAAGTTCAAAATGACGTGTGTTGACTCCCATTTAAGGCAATCAAAAAGTTACTTTTATCTTTTTTTTGTTCAATACTTTAAAATTTGTCATTTCAAACTTTGGATACACTCATTTAGATTGTTATCAATCATCCTAATTTCCATGTATGTTTTAGTTTTAGCTGTTCAGGGCCGGCGCCACGGCTCACTAGGCTAATCCTCCGCCTGCGGTACCGGCACACCGGGTTCTAGTCCATGTCGAGGCGCCGGATTCTGTCCCGGTTGCCCCTCTTCCAGGCCAGCTCTCTGCTGTGGCCAGGGAGTGCAGTGGAGGATGGCCCAAGTGCTTGGGCCCTGCACCCCATGGGAGACCAGGAGAAGCACCTGGCTCCTGCCTTCGTATCAGCGCAGTGCACCGGCCGCAGCGCGCCAATGTGCGCTGGCTGCGGCGGCCATTGGAGGGTGAACCAACGGCAAAAGGAAGACCTTTCTCTCTGTCTCTCTCACTGTCCACTCTGTCTGTCAAAAAAATTTTAAAAAAATAAAAAAAAAAAAACACATTCAGTACTCATCACTAATTATTTGCTCCAGTCATGTATTAGCTGGCTGAAGTTCATACTCATAGTTTTCTCAAGAAGCCCAGGATTAAAAATATCTTCTTATGTTCTTTCATATTCAAATTATATTCTGTTGTCTTTACACTTGAAAGATGGCTCGGCTACATAAAAAATGGCTTAGCTTATTCTTTGGATCCTTGAGTATTTTATAGGAAGCGCCCCCAGTGTCTTTCAGCCTGGACTGACACTATACAGATATCAGCCCAAGTAACTTGATATTTTTGTCCAACAGATTCTCGTTTAATCTGTAAGATAGAATAACGGGCCAGCGCTGTGGCTAGTAGGTTGAGTCTCTGCCTATGATGCCGGCATCCCATATGGGTGCTGGTTCATGTCCCGGCTGCTCCTCTTCCAATCCAGCTCTCTGCTGATGGCCTGGGAAAGCAGTGGAAGATGGCCCAAGTGCTTGGGCCCCTGCACCTGTGTGGGAGACCCAGAAGAAGCTCCTGGCTCCTGGCTTTGGATTGTCCCAGATCCGGCCATTGCTGCTAATAAATAAATGCAAATAAGTTTATAAATAAATGACTTTTTTGTCATTGAGTGATACTTATAATCAACACCCAAATTAAGAACAAAGCATTACAAGTACCCCCAGAATACTCACTATTGCCTTCCTCTCCATTTCTTTTATTAATGTGTGAAATAAGAATATATTGTCATTTACATTGTATGATTCATTGAAGCAGTATTTATAACTACATACTGTATAATATGACATTGACACAATATT